TGGCACCAGGCTATTTTTAGCCCCCAGATGGACAACCCCCCTATGGACCAGCCAACCCCCCTGAGCCTGCCAAACCCCCATCCCACAAACTGCTTCCAGTGCTGGTTTTACTGCTGTTCGCTGGTCCCGGGAGCCAAGGAAGTAAGTTAGGGTGGGAGGAGGGGCGGGCAGGATGGGGGGTTGGTTTGTCTGGGGAGTGTAGTTCATCTGATGATTTTGGGGGAGGGGGAGTTGAGGGGTTAAAAAAAGCCCCTGGTCCGAAGGGGTAGGGAAGAGAGCCCCCAACACTGCTAAACTCCCCCTGCAGACTGTGCTAGTCCCCTCATCCCACCAAACCCTCCTGGAGCCCACCAACCTCCCTGTAGACCCTGCTTGCCCTCCTGATCCCTATGAGCCGCCCCCCGCTCCCCGCACAGACCCTGCTAGCCTCCTCAATCCCTCCCACAGAACCTACTTGCACCCCTGTGGACCCTGCTTGTCCTCCCATCCACCCACTAGCCCCGCAGCCTGACTTGCCTTAGATCAGGTGGCCATTTTTAGGAGCAAGTTGGATGGAGTTAACCTTCCTGAATGTACATACCCCTAGAGTCAATAGCATTACACTGAACAAGAGAAGAAACTCCACACAAGGGAGTCAGTAGTTATTCTTAATTTGTGTTGGTGATAAGACCTCAGAATCTGGCCTGTTACTCAATCAGTTCATATTATAGAAAGTTGCCATGTGTTTGTTTGTTTTTACTAAATGCAAAACCAGTGTCTGTATGTGCTTGTTTTTTATCTTTGACTTTTCCAAGCTAGTATATTTGAAAGTAGAGCAATATATTAAAAAACAAAATCAAAAGAAAGTAATTCATGTTATGGTTAACAGGCCTCAAAGTTTAGTTTAGACCTCAGATATGATGTCCAGAGTATAATTATGAAGACCTAAAGTTATTTACTCATTCCATAGGTTTGTAATCTTATCTGTGGAGGTTAGAGGAGTAAAGTTATGGTATCACCTTCCTTGGTTATCTGAACCTTTAGTAGATTGCTTATATTAAGAGGTATTGCCAAGATAAGAAAATTCCATCCTAGCATTGCATTTTTAACAAACCAGAAAGATCTCATCACTAACCAATAGGAGAGGAATGGTAGGGCTCATGTAACAGAAACATTCCCACATCTCAATGTATATTGTCTGCAGATTGAAAAATACTTTCTCTTATTGAACTACAAGTAAGCCTGAAAACCAGAATGAAGTCACCATTTTAAGAGCCTTTGGGTAGATTGTATTGTGGGATATGTTAGAAGCATGTCATCATTCATTGGTTTCAGGTGATGCCTATTAATGGTGACCTTCTCCTCTGTTGAGAGAGGCAGTGCAAAATTTATGCATCAAGTGCAGTTTAGGCTTAACATTCAGAGGCCTTGTTCTGTGTTTGTATTGGAAATGAACTACCTTTGAGATCCAATCCTATGAGATACTGAATGCATACATATCCTACTGCCAGCATATGCAATTCAGGAGTGCTCAGCATCAGATCAAATTGGGCCTTGACCTCTTAGGAAGATAGGATCTGGAAAAGGTATTAAAAGCTTTGTATTGTTATGGCTGCATTTTTTGTCTTTTTGGCTCATCAGAGACCTGAGGTGTTGAAGTCTATTTGTCATGGATATTGCCACTCAGCTTAAGAGCAGGCCAGAATCGTGACTAACCTAGTGTTTTAGTTGCTCAGTAAATAACATGCAAGTTCAGTAGTCTTCCTTTTTCTAGTTATTGAATTCATAAAAAGTATAAAGTATTCAAGGCACAACTGTAGTTTAAAAAAAAAAAGTTGCACAAGAACATCCACTTAAATGCATTACAGGCTTTACTGTAACAGCATGTGAATTGTTCATTAATATCAAACAAGAAAGAAACACAACTGAGAAGAAACATAGAATGGACTGTTGCCTTTGCTTTATATCCTACTGCTGTCATGTTAGGCTGTTGGAATACTGTTTTTTCAGTTTCCTTTAAAGGTTAAATAAAGAAGTAAAAATTCCTTTAAACATGAAGACAATTTTATATATATGTTCTGAGGATGTAAATCATTATATGAGTGATATATAATAATTATATCACTCTTACATACTGTAATAATGGTCATATATGTATGTGTGTGTATATATGTATATGATTGTGTGTGTGTGTGTGTGTCTGACTCATATCATGTAAATCACTCATACAATGATTTACATCCTCAGAGCATTTTCCAACCATGACTAGTCTAGCATTTTCAAAAAGGAGGGGAGCATGTTTTCCTGCGGAGGTGGGTTTAAAGGATTAACCAGGGGGTCGTGAAGTGCAGAAAATGTATAACTGAAGATGTATAAGTTTCCAGTGATACATGGTGGAGATGATGGAGGATATGATTGACTTCGTTTACCAGAAGGTTGCTCAGTTTTCAGAAGCCTGAATACTGAACTGGTTTATCCTCCCAACTGCCTTGCATGGCAGACAAGTGCTTTTATCACCATTTTAGAAGTAAAGAACATGAGGTACAGAGATGAAGAGACTTATGCAGGGCCACACTGGAAGCCAGTGGCAGGGCCAGGATTAAAATATAGTAAATTTTGAGCAGCTACTTGGTCCACTGGAGTGTGGGCTGGGAGACAGATGATTCTTATTTGCAATGTTCTTAATTATCCTGAAGAAGAAAAGCATGAAGTTAGAGAATCTTCCTATCCACTTAAATTGAGTGGGAACGAAAGTTCAGCTCCAGATACAAACATGCATTGCACATACTTGAGACGGTGAATTAGCTAATGTTATCAAAGTAAGGACAGGACTGGCCTTTAGACCCGTATTTGTTATTCTTTTCCATAATACAACTGTTTATAGTCAAGGTATCTGTTTAGTTCAGCCGTGATATGTAGATCCATACATCCATCTGGATCAAACTTTTAGAGATGTTTGGGGTCTGAGCTTCTGTATAAAATCTTACAGAACTCGACTTTACTGATTGACATAGGATGGGAGTTTGGCTCAACCGTCCATTTTTGTCTTTTCCATGACCTTTGATGCCAGTGATCTGCTTTCCTATTTACAGGATGTGATCATAGCAGCTCTATTAAGTTTGATTTTGTCCAAAACAGCAGCAACAACAGCAGTTCCCTCTCTCTTTTTCTCTAGGTACAAGATACTGCTTCACACAACACAAGCTGGAAGACAGTGGAAAGAGCATATCTGTCACCAAGCGATGTGTGCCATTAGAAGACTGTTTGTCTACAGGCTGTGTAGATTTAAAATATGAAGGACAGAAGGTTAGCAACAAAAATGATCATTTTTGGTATAAGCTATGCAGAACTCCTTAGCTTTTAGCACAAAATCTGACTTGCACAGCAGGTGGAAGAGTATTACCAAAATTGTAATATGTCTGCTTTTGATGCTCCTATGTTTTATGTAAGTGGTTATATTTCACAGAATGAAGGAACTATCCCTTTAACCAGGAGATAAAGGGGATTAGGGCCAAACCCTGTTCATTATGAATGGGGAGCTGCACCATTGATTTTCCTAGTACAAGAATTTGGCCCATCTTAAATGAGAATATATAACTTCTGTAAGGCAAGAAGAAGAAATGTACAAAAGCACACTCACAAATAAGAGGAAATCCTGATGTCCTTCCTCAGACTTTCTTCTGCAAAAAAGCAAAGGAAATGTTTTGGGCTGAGCAAAGACTAGAGAATAACTGGAGTAGTGTTAGAGTTAGAAAGTGTATAAACAAAGAATGAAAGAGGCAAGAGAATGTGAAAGGGAAAAGGTAACATGCTCCCTCCATCTTCCCTGAGGAATTAAAATGACAGATCTTCAAGATGAAAGCAAGAGAGATGGCTAGACATTTTTGATGGTATGTTAAAGACCCAGCTAATGCCTCAGGGAAGTAAACTGTTCTACTCTATTTGAAAACAGTTTTACTTAGTTACACTATTATTTTTCTCATCCAGTTCTTTTTAGTGAATAATAACATTGTCTCGTGACGTTTTTCCCTCCCCAATCTCATAGGGTGCCTATACATGTGCTCCAACACATTCTAATTCGAATACATCAGAGCAGACTCAGTTAACCCTTGCCTGGGTTCTGGGGGCCTCCTGGGGCTGCAGCAGCAGTGATCCTGCCTCGGAGCCTGGCTGGCAGCAGAGTATGGCTCCAGCTGGCCAGGCTCCAGCTTTGGGTGGCGCATGCACTGCTCCACTTTTTTTTCCTGTGGGCTTTTTTGACCCCTCAATATCCACGGGATAAAAAACCGCCCTCTGTGTTGCTCCCTTGCAGTGTGGAGAGCAACTCAACATGCGGTACGTGGCTGCAGCGCCACACACCACACGGCTGCACTCATCTGGACACTGCCACACTGTACTATTTGACAACAAAAGAAGCAGTGATTCAACTCTAAACCAATGACTACTTCTCAATCCATTGATTAGCCGTAGCCCCTTTCTTTCATTAGTCTCTCTCAGTATAGCCTCTGCAGGAATCAGACTAGTGACCCTGTTAATTGGTAACCAGAAAACCCTTTCTTTCTCCCTGAAATATTGAAGAATGGGAAAATATGGGAATGTTAATCTTGATTGGATGAGATGTTTCAAAACTCTTAATTACACTGGCATTTTTCCAGTAGTTCTGAGAAGCAATTTTATGAGATCCATAATTTTATGAGACCCAATTTTATGAGGGATTCTATTTTATTTGGGTCCCTTTAAGGGGAGAACTAACTTCCTATGACCTTGAAAAGGGTCCATCTTACCTCTACATAGTGCCTGGCCAGCTATATTGGTTGTTGCAGGGATTGAGCTGTTGACTGCCCCACTCCATATCTACCATATGTTTGCTGCATGTGGTTTCTGGTGTGTAACTCCTGTTCTGGCCCAGGACTCAGGTCCAAGTTCCTAGGTAGTTCCATGTGGCCCTGTGTAACATACAGCCAAAGATACTTGTTTAAAAATTAAGTTTAAAAAAAAAAAAGTTAAAAAAAAGTTTTGGCTCTTCCAGATCACAGCCTAGGACACCCATCTGTTCTAGACATTTCTCATAAGTCTGTGAGATGTGGCACCCCCTATTAATCTTGTAGTATTCTTGACACTTTATCAACTTTGACAACGTAATTACCTTAAACAAATCATGTCTCCAGAAACTGTCCAGAACAAGGCAGTGACTGAAACCATACTGTCTTCAGTATTTACATTACTGTTGTTCCTAGACATCTCAACTGAGATTGGGACACTATTGGCCAGACATTGAAGAAGTGTAGACAGTTCCTTAGAGATCATATTCTATATAGGTTGATTGATAAAAGGACTTGGGTAGGAGGGCGAGGGGGTGGCGGGCGGGAGGGAGGGGCAGGAAGGGGTCAATAACCACGCCAATGCTGCCTTACTTCCACGATTTCTGCTACTGAGTTTTCTTCAGAAGTGGAATGATACAAGTTATTGACATGCTTTTTTTTGTTTCAGATCTGCACTTCCTGCTGTGAAGGAAATATCTGCAACTTACCATTACCAAGAAATGAAACTGATGCAGTATTTGCAACAACATCCCCTATAAACCAGACAAAAAGACTTTCACAGCACATATCACTAATAACTTCATGTCTCTTATTGGTATTTACTTCATAGCAATATTACAAGGTGCTGTTTTTATGGTCAGAAAAGGTAAACCAACATTTGCATATTTTTTAATCTTATCTTAATATATGTTTTAAATTCCAGTATTTCAAAGACATTCCCAAAATCTAATTTCTCCCTGACTGTGTCTTGTCTTTCAGTCAGTGCAGAGTCTAATGTTCCTGATGTATAAATGCAACTGAAGGAGGGAAAAAAACGGTTGTTTTAACTTCAATATTTTGAGTATAAATACGTTTTAAAGCTAGTGGTTTGTAGCATACATCAGTGCACAGAATATTCTTAAAATATCAGTGTTTTCTCTCCATGAAGTAGTTATATTTTAAAAAATACTGCATAGCTACAAGTTTCTATCAGCATTTGTTTTGGGGGGGTTTTTTAAGATGGCATAAGAGAAAGCATTGTTGACAATTTTTACATTATAATTTGGAAACAGATTACTACTAAATTAAGGGCTAATCCAGCAGTGTCCTAGCATTCCAAAGTCCTGCTGACTTCAGTGAGAATTATTTGACAATGACAACCACAGTGCTGCATTTTAAATTGAATACATATAGAATCAAACAGCACTTTATTTTACACACACACACACACACACACACACACACACACACACACACACACACACACACACATTCTATCTACAAAGTGTGTAAAGGGCAGTAATGCTATTGTTTGAGTAAGCAAAAGACAACATTTCGAGAACTACACACATAACCTATTATACTCTGTCATTTCTCTTAACACCCTCCTCCCAACATATGGTGTAAAAAAATTACAAGCCTTGGCTATATTTTTGGTACCCAGTGCTTATTTTAGCTGTAAATCATTTACATGATATTTATTTTTGTATGGTATGATTACAACCTAAAGTATTGTAAAAAAAAATCCATTCTTAAGACCAATATATCATGATAGGTTAGTTGTTTTAAGAGTGGGTAAACTTGTAATATATACGTTATGATAAATTATCTATAATATTTTGAACCAGTGTTGAAAAAGAGGAACTTGTTTTCCAAGGTCAGTGGTAAATTAAAGTGGCCATTGCTGGTTTATCTTAACACTAAATAAAAATATGGTGGAACTTTGTGCACTGCACATCTAGATAATCACACATTTAAGTGATTTTATGAACTAGTTTTAGTTAGCAGCAATTGACCAGTAACTTGCACTTTATCAAGTTACAGTACAGGTTTATGCCATAAACTTTCTGTGAATTATATGACAAAAGGAAGGGAAGATTGCTGGAATCTGAGAAAATGCCTTATGAAGGGCTCATAACATTTTACAAACAAGCATTAATCCAGTAAAGTTCCTTTCAGATATATATGTAATAGCTAAAAACCACAGATCTCAATATGTAATACTGGGCATGTCTACACAAGCATTAGTATGCTATTGTTACTACGCATTAAGTTTAGTCTCTGTAATAACAGGTAGTAACTCAATGTGCAGTAACTGGTCCTAATGCACAGTAGTGCCGACATATCATCTTTTAGTGACACTAACGCATAGCAGACTAATTCTACTGAGCATTAGCATGGTTTTTGCTGTGATGCACTGATGTGCAGTAGAACTACTCTACTGCACATTTAGCGTCTCTTGTAGACGTACCCATTGTGTCTTAATGTCAGTGGCTGTTAGTTTCCTGAGCATTCCAATTTGTATCTTTTTTATGTGAAGGCTTTGGGTTTTTTTGGAGGAAAAAATTGCTTTAAAAAACCCCACTGTCTTTTCATAACTTCGTTTTTTTTCTTTCAGGTGATTTGGCTTTTGAAAGGTAGGATACTTGGAAAAGCAGGAAGGGTTAATGAATTTTCATGTCTGAAAAATCTAATTTTTACCAGTTTCAATGTGAAAATGAGTATCTTCTTTGTCCCATTTTCATTTTTACTTAAATATTTAACTAATTTTGAGTAAAAAAATGCCTCACATCATTCAAAGACTATCATATTTTTGCTCAAGAAGCCATTTCAGAGTTTTCATCCTATTGCAGTAAAATAGGATGTGCTGAAATTCTTTGAATTCTGCTGGAAGTATCTCACAATTCCCTAGTGTTAGTTGCAAGGGCAGCTGCAATCTGTTTATTATTATGCAAATCGGGCATCCTGTTTGAGTCAGGCATCTTATTTGATGAATGCAGCAGTGCAGCCCTCCATTGCACTGTGCTTTGTCCCCTCTGGGTGTGTTTACACGTTCATTAATGCACCATAATGGTGGTGCATTAAGTTTAGTGCCTGTAATGATAGGTACTAACTTAATGTACTGTAATCGGCGCTACTGTGCACTAATGCAGATGTACGCTTTTTGTGTGACGCTTAATGTCCATTGGACTAACGCTACCGTGTACTAGTGTATTAGCATGGTTTTTGCCAGCCACGCTAGTGAGCAGTAAAGTTAGTCCAATGGGCATTAATCATCTTGTGTAATGCATTCTTTGAGTAGACTATTTTAAAGCTACTAAAGACAGCTTTCAACTCCAGTTGACATCAAGGTTGTACAGGATCAGTCCTGTAGATTGAAGTAGCAGTTTTACCATGCCAGAGCCACTAAATGATCTAGATGCTGCAATGTCTAATTTTTAGGCGACTTGCTACCAACTGGAATTTTCACCCCAAGTTAGAGGCCTAGGCTCTCTGTGCAGTGAAGTGATAGAGTTCAAGGCAGTAATGTAATAATGGGTAGACAAGGTAGGGCACTGGATTGGAGCTAGGAGGAGCATTCATTCTCTTGTCCTCTTATCCCCTTCCCTCCCTCTCTTCACTCTGCATATTTCTTGCAGTGACTTCAGCTCCAGCAGCAGGGATGGCAGAGCTGTGGCAGATGCACAAAGTGGAGGAGCAGCAGCCAGAGGCTTCACCTGTCTTGAGCCTCCATGTCAACAGCAAAAAAAAGGAGGTGACCTCTCCCCTAGCAACATCATGGGCCCTGCTGCTGCTCTGCCATTATTATCAGAACCAGAGCTACTGCAGGGAAGGTGCAGGGGTTACATTGCTGCCCAGGATGCTGTACTGGCCAGCTACTTACTTGGCAGCCAGGGGGAGGACACCTGTGTTCTAGTCCTGTCTCAGTGAATATGTATGTACAGGCAACCCCCGCTTAGCGCTCTTAATTAGTTCCTGAAAAACCGAACATTAAGTGGAATAGTGTTAAGCGAAAACAATTTTCCCATAAGAATTAATGTAAATAAATATAATTCATCACCAGGACGCCCAGCAGCAGCGACATGAGCACCTGGTAGCTCAGGACCAGCTTGACCAGCACCATGCCGTTGCTGCCCGCCTGGGCCGTGAAGGCGGTGCTGTTGCTCCCCTCCATGCCAGGCACTGGGCGGGGGGGGTGGTCATGGCCACAGTTGCGATCACTCTTGGTGGTGGGAGCAGGACACAGCATCTGGGGCTCCCCTAGCATGAGTCATAGCATGAGTCATAGCCCTGCTGTGCCTGGCCTGGGTGCCAGGCAGGCAGCTATATAGTGCAGGTGGGCTAAATTGCACAACAAGGCTGCACGCCGCCAATGTACTGTGGTGGTAGTGTATGCCCCCTGTTGCGAGTTGTATGGTGCCTGTGAGTGTATAACAAAACTCACTGAACACTAAGTGGAATCGGGTAGCAATCCAAAACAAGTTTTACAGCGAAATAGCACTAAGGGAAACAGTGTTAAGCAGGGGTTGCCTGTATTTTTATACAAAGTGGAGCAGCTTAAACAGGAGACACATCAAGAGCCCCACCCTGAAATACCTTATAGGTTGGTGGGGAGGGAAGTCTCCTGGGAGATAGAAGCAAGTTCCAGTAGGCAGAGGAGAGATTTCAGCTTGGTTTCCTGCATCCTGGCTGAGTACTTTAACCACTGAGCTTTGGGTAAGTCAGGGCAGCGTCATCAGGAGAAGTGAGCTATGTTTTATGTGGGATCTCATCTATAAATGTCACATTCTACAAGCGTTGACTCCCTGCAGGAAAGACAGGTAGAAAAACATTTGATTTGTGACTCCTATGAGGGCTTTGGTGACTGATAGGTGCTTAGCTGCTTAGCACTACAAAGATTTGGCCTAGGTTTTAAATGTGTGTAGGCACCAGACATTGCTGTCATTTTATGGCTCAAGCCTTCTGGATGTAGTCTACCTACAGTTGATATGGGATAGATCCTTGGGTAACAGGGTGGCATTTTATGTTACCACTGCAGCCTCACCAAACGTAAGCAATCTTTTGATGACTTTGTGATCTAGATGTGGAAAGCCACCCTGACTGTGCTTCAGTAGTCACTAATGCCCATTAATAGGGAAGGATTAGATTTTATGGGTAAGAACAGTGAAAAAATGTTTTGACATACAATTTTTGCAGGTAGATAAGATGTGGCCAAACTTGTGGCTGTTCTCTGTGTAGGTGCATTTGCAGACAATAATGTCTGGAGAGCCACTCCTTTTACGCATGGATTAGGCACAGTCAGAAGTGTAGCACGGTCTTTTAGCACCTGGGACAGAGGCGGGGTATGTGGGGGGTGGTATGTGGTGGGGGTAGGGAAGGGGGAGGTGGAATTATGCTGACCAGGAGTGGGGGAGGGAGAGAAGAATCCTGTCTTCCTGGCTGTCCACACTCCCGCAGCAGCTGCTACTGCTTTGGCTGCTGTTGCAGCAGCACAGGCTTTGACTACTAATGCTGGAAGAAAGACAGTGGCATGCGTTCCCCAGGGGTCACTCCTGGTGCCCCATTCATTTGCTCCCTCTCCCTAGGTGTGAGGCTGTAAATCCTGTGGCAAAGCCCTCCCCCCCCGGTGAGTGGGGGCATCATTACATACTCTCTCCCCCTCAGATACACTGCCGGGCACAAGGCTGTGCCTGCCCAGTTCCAACAGCTGGGTGGTGCAGGGCTAGGCCTGCCATGGTAAAAATTAATGAAGGGAGGGGACTGCGATGGTGCCCCCAAGGCTGGTACCCTGCTTGTCCCCTCTTCCTCATCTCTACCCCTATTGCCACTGGGTGCAATGCAGAACTTATGCTAGATTTGAGACCAGGCTTGGGCACCCCAGCCATGGCAAGACTATGCCAAGACATACAGTGCACCTTTCAAAAACACCAGTTAGGACCACCATTAAGCAGGTGTTAAACCCATGCTCTGAGCTGTTCCAATCCTTAGCATACTATACAGCTAGAAATTGCTTCTCTGAGGTGCACTGCAGTCTCATCCTTAAGGGATGTTTAGACATGTTGGACAATGTTGCTACCCAGGAGCCAGTTTTGTTACACAGATTTACTCAACAAGCTGGAACATTTGCAGTGTGGTAGCATGTATTTATAACACTGTTTTAAAAAATGAAATCTACCCAAAATCTTATCTGTTAAGGAATCTCTATACAATTCTCTCCTTCACCCCAAACTTCCAGTGCACCCGCCAGTGGATGTATTATGATTTATTAATAATGTATCAGTGTTGAGATGCTGTGTATTTATGTTTAGGTTCTGAACAATGTGATCTTCCTTTTAAATATTTGATTTTTAAATGTTGTAAATGTTGTACCTATGTGTAAATAAACGGAGGTTTTAAATATACAAGCAAGCACATTGTCTGATAACATTGATGCATTTTTAAATAGTTTTGACAAGGCCAACCCTTCCACTCGCTCTTTCAACCCTTCCCCCCACTTACTGAATAATTGCAAGCTTCCTTTTGTCCCTCTTTGGCCTCTTGTAAAGTCCCATTAGCAAAGGGAGAACCTGAAAAGAAAAGAACTATATTTAGAGCATTTTCCTGGCTCCCACAGAAAGAAGTGTTTGTGAGCCAGATCCTGAAGCTAATGTAAGTCTCTCCCTTTTTTGCAGTGAGAGCTGGATTGGATCCTATTGATTTGTTCTCTCTGGCATTCACTAAGTGGAAAGTCTATGATAGTTCCATGAACAGAGATTCTGCAGAATTAAGGCATAAAAGTATGTGCTTATCTCACAAGATTTCCCAGTCTTCCTGCTTATGAAAGTAACTGAAGGATATAGCATTACAAGAGTTATTCCCCCCAGTTCATTTCTGGTTCCTTGAAGATTTAGGAGGAAATGCAAGTGTTCACCTGAAGGTTTAAGAGGAACTGCAAGTAACTGCACGTTTTAAAATCTCACCTGTGATTTGTTTAGTTTTTCTCCTGCTTTTCTAAAAATCCTTTATTTTCTTACTAAGGGCTTGATTTTACTTTCCCTCTCTTTCTCTCTTCCTTGCTCTGGTTGAACACAGGAAAAGTACCATTCTCATGTAGCTCTGATTTACATCAGAGTAAATGATATTTGATTCACATACAAAAACTTCAGGCAATTAAAAACCTAATTTTTAACTTATTGTGGATAATGCACAGGTCTCATAAATACCTGTTTTAGACATTGTTTAAAGCTTTTTGCTCAGAAGATACTGTCAATTTTGGGCTTTTTCTGCCTTGAAGGTTTCAGCCTATATTGGTAACATCATCCAGTTTTCCAAGCCTTTCTTTTGTACTGTCAATTACATGTTTTGCTCTTGGAAACATGAAAGACAAGATTTTAAAATAGATTTTTTAAGATGTAATGAGCCAGCCAGTAACTAAATAATAATGTGATAAGGTCCTAAAATTATCTGAGAGCACTACACTCACATGCACCTAGAGCATAAACAAAACCTTTCAGACTTTTATGAGGGGTCTCATCAACTAAGGCATTTCTTAGCTATCCCGTGGAGAAGGGTAGGCCTCCTTAAAAAGCAAACACCTATTTTATGTAACTGAAAGTAATCAGACATGCAAAAAAGTTACTTAATGAAACAGTTTTTTATAGACCTCCTGTTCCCCTTTAAATATGTTATCTCTGCCATTTGTAATAAATACTGGGGGCCTATAGAGAGATGTAAACTTTACCCAAGGCTCATCACCAAAGCCAAATAAAATAATGTCCTCTTTAAAGTACAATGGAGACAGCTCAAAAGTGGAGACTGCAGAAGCAGATTGGTGATAATTAACAGGAAGTCATGATTATATAATGGATGGTTTCCAGAAATTTCCTCCAGAGAAATCTCACTCGAGCTCTGTAGATATTTCCTGTATAAGTTTTTAATTGGAGTAGAGGAGTTTATGTTTTTTTTCTCATATACTTTACAATGAGGATAGGGCTCTAGGAGTTCAAGGTTGCTGTTGGCATGGTTTCCAAATGCTATGTGTGTGTCTGTGCTTCTCTTGGTATTCATTATCTTTACTGGATTGGAGGTCAGCTAGTGAACCTGTCAGAAATGGGAAAGAAGCTTGCACAAGTTTTGTTGTAGAAAGTTATAATAAAGGTCATTTCAGGTCACTGACCACTCCAGCAGTGGGAAAGGCTGATCTGAGGTTCTTCTCGCAGGAGAAGATGAAGGTATGGCAAAGTGAAGAAAAAAAAAAAAGACTAAACAAAGTTTGCGGAGGATATAGCAAATGCTCAGAGAGCAGAAATGAACACAGATTCCATTGTAATGTGTAATTAATGCTAAATGGTTAAAGCATCAGGAAGAGCATTTCAGAGTGCTAGTGTCAGTATTCCCTGCATACAATGAAAAATCTGACTGCATTTTATTAATAATATAGAGACCAACTGTACAAGACCCTTTATTGAGTTGCTCTTGTTTGCTTGGGAATAGCAAAAGTTGACAATGGGAACAGTTCTTTGGGTGTTTCCAGTGTACTAGGCCATGATTAAAGGGAACAGGTTTTCTAACATCTTTGAAATACTTATATTATTCAGGAACTATAATTCCCAGCTGTCACAAGCAGTCTTACACTCTTCAGAATTTCAACACGGGGCGGATTAGCAGAGATAATGTAATTTATGCTATTGTCCACCTCCTTGAATCATTATTTATATGATAGTGCCTAGCATGCTTCTTTGCCCAGCTGCTTGTAAAGATACAGTCCCTACCACTTACGGTAAACTTCACCAAGCATTTCTCTTAGCACACTTCAGGTGGCCCCTGCCTTATTGCTCATTAACCTGCATTTCCTGACTCCCCCACATAATCCTAAAGTATGTTCTGCTCTTGTTTTTCTGAGCCCTCAGAGCTCCTATGCACATTCCTG